TCCAAATTAGAAGTCACTAACAGGCAAGACCAAATGAGAGGAGGAGGAGGAGGAAGCACTTACAGAAAAATAAGGACAGGGGGGATCCAGAGATACTAAGAAAACAAGACAGACGGATAATGCTACATCTGTAAAGAGTTAGGGCATTGGGCCCCAGATTGTCCAAGAAAAAAAAACAAGATTTTTGCGGGAAATTTGGCCATTGGGCTAATAAGTGTCCAGAGGATGAGGAGAAAAAGCCTCAGGAACCCAAGACTACGGGGTCACACCAGACCAAACCTTTAGTGAAAGAAGGAGACAAAAAAGAGAAAAAGGAACACAACAGAGAGATCCCAGGCCCCAGCACTACTCACAAGAGAAAACTACCCCTGATGACTGATAAGAAACAGAAGAAAAAGTAATTTGATGTATTTTCATTCTGAATAAAATTCTGTTGTTGTTATTGTTTTCGGAAAATCCAGTTTGAACCGGCGAGGCTTTGACTGTGAATGAAATCGTGAAAACGTGACGTCAAAACCACATTCCTGACTGGCTGCCAAAATCATAGTAACAGCGTCAAAAAGCTATACAAAGCGCCCCGTACTTAGGAACTGTGTACTGCCCCAGCCAGGGTTTAGGGTTAGTGGGCTAGGGTTAGAGGATTAGGGTTAAGACTGTACTCAGTTGACCCGGCCAGCGGCACAGCCAATCAGAATCAATCATTTTGAACCTCATTTGCATAAAAAGTGGACTCAGTTGACCCGGCCATCTAGGCCGTTAGTACTACTTCCGTTCGCGCGTCTTAGCGGTAGACGTACATCGAGTTGTAATGACCGATTTATGACTGCTAAGGGAAGGGGCAGTGGTATGAAAAGTTCCGTTTCCGTGTGTTAAATGGGTCGTTCTCCATCATTGCAACTTGAGAGGGGAAGTGTGTGTTATGTTAGGTGTAACATGTTGTGTGACGTCATCGTGTTTACGGATACCAGGGAGCGAAGGAGTAGTCATCAGAGAGGAGGCGGTGTCTTCATCTGTCTCGGGCGTACTTACAGCTGTAGAGATAGTAATACAAAGAGACATTAAAGAAGACTCTACCAGTACGTTTAATTGATGTAAAATTCTTAATTGACAAGAACTGTATAACGAAAAATAGTTTTTATACCCCCCGCAAACGAAGTTTAGGGGGGGGGGGTATATTGGAATCACCATGTCCGTCTGTCTGTCTGTAGACGAGACTTTGTCCGGACCATTACTCAGAAACTATATGAAGGATTTGTCTGAAAATTTGTACACATATTATTCACCATATGAAGATGTGCACCTGATATTTTGATCTTGATTGTATTATTATTTTGAATTTTACAGGTGTTTTTTCATTTTTATTTTGTGGTTTTGTCTGGACCGTTTCTCAGAAACTATTCCAAGGATTAATCTAAAAATTTGTACACTTATTATTCACCATATAAAGGTGTGCACCTGGAATTTTCAACTCTTTTTGTTAATTTTTTTGCATTTTACAGGTTTTATTTTTTATTTTAATTGACTTGTTCATTTTGGGCTTATGTATAAGGTTTGAGATATGGAATCTAGAATATCTGTTCAAAAATACTACAGCTTAAAACTACTCATAAAAACATAAAAAAGAAACATCATCAAGTGTTAAAAACAGTTTTTACATTGCACAGAAGATAATGTAATTTCATTTGTCTCTTGGGAATAATGTCTGGACATGCATCCAGTTAAATATAAATTAATGAGTTTGGTGTTGGAAGTTGTTAAGGCATATGTCTTATCGAGTGTGTGTGTTATCTATCTCCAGGGAATAAGGCACAAGAATTAAAGATCTCTCTTCTCTTATTCTCTTAATTGTAATTTATTGTCTGTCAAAGCACTTCATTACTGGATGACCAGCTCTTTATTTTCAAAATGCATTTCAAATTGATATATCAAGATTAATTTGATTTTGTATAATGTTTTTTTTTTTCAACAATCAGTTTGCATAGTGACATAACACATAATTGCAATATATTTTTTAAATGCAGTAATGAAAAAAAAAATTAAATTAAAAAATAAAAAAAAATGTTACAATGGAATTACAATGTATTAGTATTGATGTTTCATTTGGTTTGCACATTTGTTTCATTCATTAAGAAACATGATGAGCAATTATATTTCACTGCAAATTTTTGTAAGTAAATTGTGAACACCTCTAGATCCATAAAGTATTTTTGAATTGGCACCTTCTCTGAAAAACCCAGCGGGGGGTATTTGTCCCTATTGGACAGTTCTAGTATAACAATGGAAATAAATGAACACATGACCAGATCTGTACAAAACATAACCACGTAACATAAAAAACTTCTACAGATCTGAGACAGTTATAGGATTTCACTCACGGGTACTCTCCACTGCCATTGGCGATGCAGTTGTCGGATCTGTTAAAATAAACATCCATGAATTATCCACTTTATTATTGAAAAACAAGATTGCACATTTTTTATAATCCCATGCACATTTTAAATGAAAAATTAAAAACATCCGAGAAAAGTACATGTACCACACTTCACTTTCACTGTTCCCTATACGAAAGCGCTCTTACAAGTCATGGTGCGCCACGCGTATTCTGCGCAGGGGCTGCTGTACATAGCTAAACCTGTTTTGGAATAGACCTTGTTCTGTTTTTCCCACGGTTGCATTCGTGGGATTTGACCGAATTATGACCTCTTATTAGATAATGAACTGCATCATTTTTCTTTAAACGAGAGTATTTCTCAGGGTATAGAGAAAAAAGGGGGCTCACCTGAACAGAACAGGGTATCTTTTGATTTCATCATTTCTATGAAATTCACATTTTGATCACAAAATCTTTCTAATATTGGAAACATTCACACAACTTCCTCGAATTAACAGTTGTTCAATGAGTAAATCAGTTTTTATGTTGCGGATCTAACATTCCACTTGAACAGTCTTTACCCCGTACACACAGACGGACTCTTCTGTACAAGATGCGTAGTCAGGTAAATTATACTGACGCTTCTCACAAGTATGTACTGTGAGAGAAATCTCTGATATTAAATACGTGTATATACACGCAACAAAAATGTTTAAAACATTCATCTTTTTCCATGGTGCGAGAAGTTTTATCACATAGAACAAAACGGGTATAATCTGACCAGTACACTGATGGCCCTGTCCATATTTATATCTTTAATTACACAGTGAGTGATGACACTGATGGAAATTTACTTTACAACACTTTCTAATCATAATAAAAATGTCTGACTACATTTAAAAGAATAAATCACCGTTCAGAACAGATGGTAATAGTAAAAATGACATGATGATTTCTCTGTCAAAATGTTTCGTTACTAGACCAGCATTTTTCAGTCTTGTTTATTGTATGTAAATTAATTTAGAGTCATCTTTAATTAAGACTGACAGAATTGTACAATTTCACACGCAGGGATTTCTTCTTCTTTTTTTTTGCTCCTTTTTGATTGCCAGGGAGGATGACAAGTACATATTTTACAGTTTCTCTTTTTTAAACAGATTCACTGTTCATAGACTCGGTTTTTATTATTCAAATTTGGTACTCATATCACGTGTTACCTTTTTCAAATTAAAAGAGGAAAATTCCCCTTGAAATCTTACCAGTCATGGCATCTAAGGCATTTGTGGTTCCATTACCAAGATCATTTGGAATTTGGCCGCAATTGTAGAAAATCTCCCATGCCCTTAATTCCTCTTTCTACAATTTTAAAACCTGAGAATTATGTCATTTTTTGGCAAGTGATTGTATTATTGTATTTCCTTTTTATTTGGTAGATATGCAATTACATATAGGAAGAG